GGCACTGCCTTTTTCGACAACACTACAGTTACTGCGTTCGATTTGATGCCACAGGAGATGGTAAGAACGTCTATTCAAGAATTTATTTCAATTAAAAAAATTTTTTCAGAGAAGTTCGTTGAGTGGAGAGGACGATTCGCGAGACAATGATTTTGTGGATACTCCTGAACCGATTGCTGAAAATCCTGTATGGAGGGGTATGGAGGAGACCAAGATTGATCCAAAGTTTGAACCGAAGGTAAAAAAAAACTTTTCAATGCCTAAAATAATTTTTTCTTTTCAAGTATGCCTATGTTGTTGACTTGTCCGCTGATCATCTGCCTCGACAGACCATAAAGCGAGAAGAGCCAATAATACTTCCTAAACGCTTCGATAAGACTATAATTCTTACTACTGGGCTCATTTCGTCTTTTGTGGTGATTGGAGTTTTCTTTTTGGTTAGAGGCAAGAAGCGATAGAAAGAGAATAAAGAGAAATGATTAGGGTGATCTATATATAATTTTGTGTGATCTCTAAAGTATTTTTTGTGTATCTAAATTTGTGTCTGTTGTATTTATTGTTCGTTAAAGTAAGGTAAATTTGTAAGGTATTATTTAGTTTTGGGTATCTCACGTGTTAAAATTGAAAAAGGGGTCGAGGGTTCGAATCCGGTCGGCGCCCGATATTTTTTAAATAGTTGGGAATGAAATTTTTGAGCTTTTCATTTTCTTCAGAAGAGTATGGGTACTCTATGAAAAATAAATTACCCAAAAAATTAATCTTGGGACGATAATGGCACTTTTGGTGAGAGGGTAGGGGGTCCATGGTTCGAACCCGGTCGGCGCCCGTCATTTTTAAATTCGACTCTTACTCATTTTTTCGTCGTTTTTGATTTTAAAATTATTTAAAAAATCTCACCTCCAACACTTCCATTTCCCTCCGAACTTCTTCCACTTCTCCTCCTTCTTCTATTGCTGAAGAAGCGACAACCAAACGTTAACAATAAAATAACAAAGAAAATAACAATTGTGGTGGCTGCTGCAATTCCTGAAGTTATTGTAGCATGCCCTGAAATTTTATTAAAAAAATTTAAATTTATTGTAAACAAACTTTGTGAGTAGTAGTTTTCCCATGTGATAGGCCTGAAAAAAATTTTTTTAATTTTTTTTTTGAAATTTCCAAAAACTCACTTGTTGTAGGATTGATAATGCCACATAAAAGGAATATTTTCTGAGCTAGTAATTTTGATGAGCGGATAAATATTTTTTAATTAATTAAAAAATCGTCGAATCCAAAATTTAAAATTTTTTAATTTAAAGGAAAGGGCAAAAAAACGTGATTTCAACTTAAAAATTTTTTTCTTTTTTTTTCTCCACTTAATTTCGTCAGCAATCAACTTAGTTAATTATAAATATTTTGTAGTTTTTATGTCCTTCAAGTTCTTAAATTTTGTTTAAAGGGAAAGGGAAAATTGAAAAAAAAATAAAATTGATTAAATGTTATTTATGGCTAATTAATAGGAGAAAATTTTAAAGAAAAATTTATTTTTTAAGAGGAAAATATTCGAGAAAATCAAGAAAAAAAAGAATTAAGAAAAAATAAGTGTTGTGAGTGATGTTGGGGGGTCGAGGGTTCGAACCCGCTCGGCGCCGGAATTTTTTAAAATGAAGGAAAACCCCGATTTTTGACCGTTTCCTGTCTGAAAAGCATAATCAAAGGACTGAAATTTTTTCTGAACTCAACTTAAGAAGAAAAAATATTTTAATGTTGAGGGGGGTTGGAGGTTCGAACTAGGGTTGTACCCCGAACGTTCGGGGGCGGGTATGTCGGGGTACGGGGTTTTCCAATTGTTTCGGGGCGGGGTTCGGGTCGGGGGAGCAAAATATGACCGGGGTTCGGGTCGGGGTACGGGGTTTTAGGGAAAAAATTTTTAGAGAAAAAAATGCTCAAAAATAATCAGATCTCGGTATATTTTCGCTAATTTATTCAAAAATTAAGTAGGATTTGGAGAAATTAGAGGGGATTTGAAGGGATTAAAGTGTATAACTTGGGATATAAGTGGATATGGAGGTATTAAGCGGGATTTCTAGGGATTAAATGGTATATCTAGGGGTGCAAGGTGATCTGGAGTGATTTTTGTTGTTTCAAGGGATATCAGTGATTAATAAGAATATTGAAGTATTGCGGATAAGGGTATTTGGACGGATATCAGGAGATATCTTCGATTAATCCTTAAATCTCCCACAAAATCCTTGTTAATTCCGTTAAATTCACGTAATCCTTTCAAATCCATTTTAATCTAAACCTTATATCCCTTTAAATCCCTTTATAACTCCTTAATTCGTCGATATCCTACAAATCCCTTTATATCTCTGATTCCCGTTAACAGGACCTCGATAGTTTTCCAACTGTTATGGTTGAGAAGTGGTAATACAGGGGGTTTGAAGGATTAAGGGTGGTTCAAGGGATATCAGTTAAAAATAAAATTAATATTTTCAAATTAAAATTTAACTCGTTAATAATTTGTTTTTGTAAAAAAATATAAAAAAACAGAGTTTTCCTTATATGGATCCGAACCCAATCTTATATTAACGAAATATCGGCTAAAACCATCGACTAACCCACTCAACCACAAGTCTCTTGTAAAGAACGAAAGAAAATTATGATATTTCATTCATTTTTCTTTCAAAAATAATAAAAGCAAAGTATAATGGGTGGAAATTTTTTAAATTTTCTTCATTAATTTCTCCAAAAAATGACATTTTTTAGGGGTATAAAACCCCGATAACCCCGAAACTTTTTGGGCCGGGGAACGGGGTTTTCACTTTTTTTCGGGGCGGGGTTCGGGTCGGGGAGAATCGTGAAAAAATCGTTCGGGAACGGGGTCGGGGTTCGGGGTACGGGGTCGGGGTACAACTCTAGTTCGAACCCGCTCGGCGCCGGGATTTTTTAAAAGAAAGAAAAATCCTTTTTAAAAAATTATCTGACAATTTTCATTTCCGGAGTTGAAATTTAAAAAAATTGACTGTGTATTTAAACAAAAAATAGTATAAATAAAAAACGCTTCGTCACTCATAAAGGTCACCAAATTGGCAAAAAATTGAGAGCACCGAAAATCACGCGTGCGCGATTCATTCAAGCGTAAATTTGCTGAATAGACTATTTTAAATTTTTAGTTTGGATTTTAAATAAAAAATGGAGAGTATTAAAATAGAAAGAGATTTTAAATAAAAAATTAATTTTTAAAATGTTGGCAATTTGGGGGGTAAGGAGGGGTCACAGGTTCGAACCCGCTTAGGTCCCGAATTTCTTAAAAGCAACGAAACTTTTTTTAAAAATTATAATTGATCTAAAAGACTATAAAAATAATAAAATTTATTTTTTTGTGTTCTTTTTTGTTCTATATTTTTATTATTTTCTTTTATCCTTCCGAAACGCCTAAGGCAAGGTCAGAAATAAAATAATAAATTTAACGAGAAGAATAAATTCAAAAAAAAATAAAAAAAGAAATAATTGGAACGAGATGTGACCCAAAAATAGAGAGAAAAAACTATGAAATATTTTTTAAAATAAATTAAAATTGAATTTGTGAGGTTTCCTTCATTTAAAAAATAGCGGGACCCAAGCGGGTTCGAACCCTCGACCCTTTCTCCACACAAATTGACCTTTTATTTTTATATCCAGTCAAAAAATTTTTTATTCTACTCCTCGGTACCGAAAATAATCAGATTATATTTTTAAAAATTATTCTTGCTCATTTAAAAAATATCGGGACCCAAGCGGATTCGAACCCACGACCTCCTTACCCACCTATTCCAACATCACTCCAGGCTTCCAAAAAAATCCAAAAATAGATTTTAAAAAATTAATTCGTCCCAAAAATGGATTGCGCAAAAAAATAAACAATCCGCATAGAAACGAGAAAAAAATTAAATAGAAAAATTAAAATGAATAGATCTATATAGGAGGTGAATTCTCTCTCCCATGATCAGAAAGAAGAGATTGAATTAAAATAAAAAAATAAAAGAAATAAAAAAAATGTGTGTTGTAATAAATAGATAAATTATTTAATTTTTCAAATAAAAAAATATTTTTTTAATTTAAAAATTGATGTAAACACACAGTTTTTAAATCAAGAAAAAATAATAAAAGGAAAGGAATGTGAACAGTTCTTTAGTAAATATGTAAATATATTTTAGGATAGATTTAAAAATATTTATGAATAAATATAGTAGGAAAGGAAGAACATTAAATATATTTTTGTCTGGCCTAAATTATTGGACTTAATCCAAGAAAATAATAAACAAAAAAAATTCAAAATAATTTGACGAATATAGTGAATTAAGAGAAGGGAAGGGGTCGATGGTTCGAATCCGCTTGGGTCCCGATATTTTTTAAAATGAGGAAAAATCAATTCTAAAAATATTATCTGACCTTTTCGGTCCCTAAGAGTAGAAAAAAGTTTTTTTAGAAAATTTTTTGAATAAGTTTGACCCTTATATATGTGACCTATATTAATATTTTGAAATTAAATTTTGCACTAAAAATTAGGCGAGGAATTTAAAAGAAAATAAAAATAAATTAGAGAAGTATCCAATGAGAGTTCCCTAATTCAAAAAAAATTGAAAATTAAAAGGGCAAGGAATTTAAACGAGAATGGATTAGGAAATTAGTAAACGAATCCCTATTTCAAAAAAATTATATGTGGTTAAATAGTTCCGGGTCAATTCAGAACTTTTCTCACACTTTTAAATTTAAATAAATTATACCATTAAATAGGACAAAAAAAGTATTTAAATAATTTCTAAAAGGTTAGAAAAATGTTTATCCCAAATTTTTTGTCCGTTATTTTTAAATTTAAATGTGTTAATCCCTTTTTTTAATTTAAATTTTATAAATTTAAAAATCAAATTTTAGTTGTTAAGGATTAGTTAATAAAGTTTATTAATTTTAAAAAATTTAAAAAGAAAGTTAGTTAAATTTTAAAAAATTATTGAAGGGTCAGGGATGTCACGAGTCAAAAAAATCTGTGGTCGAGTCGGTTAGGGGGATTAAAAGGGAAAAACGGGTCGGTTCGGAATTTCAAAATTTCTCCTTGATAGGAATCGGTCCCAAGTAGGAATGTCACGGGTTGAAAGAAAGTCGAGTTTGGGTTTTGGGTCGGGGTTTCAAAATTATTTTCGAATCGGGTTTTTAGCCAGTTAGAGGATTGAAAAGGAAAAAAAAGTCAGGGTCGGGTTTGGAAAATTATTCAGATCGGGTTTCGAATCGAAAAGAACTCGTGACATCCCTAATCCCAATGAGTAAAAAAATTTTTTATTATTTAATTTTACTTTCATTTTTTTCCGTTCAATTTGTTGCCAAAACAAAATTTTCACTTAATGCTGAATATGGAGCATTTAAAACATTTGAAGATAAATCGGTTAATGGTGGTGATGAAGGAATTTTTTGATTAATATTTTGTGGTTGTTGTTGTTGATGTCTATGTAAACTTCCATCTAACGGATCGCGACATGCTTTACGACGTGAAGGGTAACGACGCATTAAATAATCATTTGCTACTTGAGACATTTGGACTTGAAAGAAGGAAAAATAAAAAAAATTTTTGAGTGATGTTGGCACTTTTTAGGGGTCGAAGGTTCGAACCTGCTTGAGTCCCGATTTTTTAAAATGAAGAAAAATTATTTTTATCTTACTGTTTACTGTCACGAGGAGTAAAATATTTTTTTTAGAATTTTTAGAATAAGGGAAAAAAGTTTAGAGTGATCTTTGGGAGAAGAGAGGTCGGAGGTTCGAACACGCTTACAAAGGAGAGTGCCTGTGGTGTCCGCGGGACTTCAGGATGAAATTTGGTGGACAAGTAGATCATAACCTATGATAGTCATACCCAACTTAGTTTCCGCTAAATGGTACCGTGGGCCAAGTTATGAGCACCCAAAATTTTAGGGTCCCCTCTTATAAACAATTTCTATTTAGTAATAAATGTGTTCGTCGGTGGTGCAGTGGTAGCGTTCTTGGGTTCAATTTTTTCACCCAGGTTCGAATCCTGATTGGTGAAAATAATTTATTTTAACATAATTTTATTTTTTTAGAAAATTTTGGTTTTAAAATTTTTAAAAAATTTTCTAAATTTTTTTGCAACTTTTTTAAATTTTTTAAAAATATTTATTCCTTGTCTTTTAAAGCCCTCGACTTATTCATTTCTTGTGTTCCTTCAAAATGTGCCTTCTAAAAATTTTAAAAATTTTCAAAAAAAAATTTAGAAAAGTTTTTAAAAATTTTAAAACCAAAATTTTCAAAAAAAACGAAAATTATGTTAAAATAAATTAATTTCACCAATTAGGATTCGAACCTGGGAGAAAAAATGTAATGCAAGAACGCTACCACTGCGCCAAGGCCGAACACATTAGTTAATAAAAAGAAATTATTTATATATAAGAAAGAAAACTGTGGGGGATCCTTAAATTTTGGGGGCTTATAACTTGGCCCACTGTACCATTTAGCGGAAAATAAGTTGGGTATGACTATAGTAGGGTAAGATCTATCTGTCTGCAAAATTTCATGCCGAAGTCCCGCGGACACCCCAGGCACTCTCCTTTGTTAGTGCCCAATTTTTTAAAATGAAAAAAATTTTTAAATTATTATATGACCCTTTCCGATCCCAAGGAGTAGAAATTTAATTAAAATTTAATTTTACTCACCTTCTTTCAATTGATTTTCCAACTTTAATTTTTGTTGCGCCACAGCAAAATTTTCAACCACCATAGAAATAGGGAAAGCAAGGATTATAATTCCAAAAACAGAAGATAAACCAGCAATTAGTTTTCCAACTTAAAATAATTTTTTTTTCAATTAATTAAAAATAAAACAAACCCCAACTTAAAATTTGACAATCTCCATAACCAACAGTTGTTACTGTTATACTAAAAAAATTAAAAAATAAATTTAATTTTGTAAAGATAATAAAAACTTACATACACCACCAACAAGCAGCCGGTATACTTTTAAAATCAGATCCAGGTTCATCTTTTTCTGCATAATACCTAAAAATAAAACGTAGAGAATTCCAACGTTTAATGAGAATTATAGGCTCTCCCATATATTGTCAATAAAGGCTAAAAACCCTCGTTTTGCAAATAAGTTTTAGGCAAACGAGGTACCTTGTTGTCAAAATATGGTTTTTGGCATAATACGGACCCTAATGGGGAAGAATTCTGTCACATTTATTTTTCAAAAAAGAATAAACAGCTCGGGAAAATTAAAAAATATTTCTCCCAAATAATAAAGAAGAAAATTCCAAACCCTCTTACATTAACGTCGAAAAGAAAATTGTTCCACAAAGCAAAAACATTGACAACATACAAAGCTCCCTCAATGAAGTTCTCAAAGTTGCACCAAAAACCTTTTAAAAAAATATTTAAAAACTCAAAAAATAAAAAAAACTTGAAGTCCAGTTGAATATCTAGCCAATTTAAATACTCTTGCCATTCTTAAAACGCGTAAAACACGCATAACAAGCATTGCTCCTTTTTAATTAAATAAAAAATAAATAAAAATTTAAAAGTTAAAAAAACCTGCAAAATCTTTTAAACCTTCCGTATTAGAAACACCCATTTGTGAAAGTGCCAATTCACAATAAAATGGTAAAACAGTAAATAAATCTTTAAATTCAAAAAATTAAGGCTCTAGTTTAGTTTATAGGTCCAATAAAGCTTTATAAGTTCATAAAAAATTTCCGAGTTTATTGGAACTGAACCAGAGCCACCTCTGGACTGGTAAATGTTGCTAAAGAAGGTTCAAGGGAGCCCGGAGCCACCGATTGACTCCTAAGGGTTTAAAGGACTAACAAACTAGATCAAATCCCTCAGATAGATTAAAAGGACTCATAATCTAGACTAGAGCCAAATTTAATTAAAAAAATAAAAAAAATATACCAATTAAATTTAAAGGTTGCCGAAGAAATAGCCATCGACGAGGAGCTACCAACAAACTTAAGAAAAAAATTTTTTAGAAAAAATAAATTTAAAAAAAAGCTAAAACCGTAAAAGAAAGTCCATTGTAAACCAGGCAATACAACAATTTTCAAGAATTACCAACCATCTTTGTGGATTATCTGTTGGACGATAAATAAAGACTTGTGGTGATGGTGGAGGAGATTCCTTAAGAGAAAAAAATTTTTTTTAAATAAATATCAGATAAAATTAAGAAAGTCAACAAAAAAACAGAATAAGAGAAAAAATTTTTTGTGGAGTTGGGGGGTCGTGGGTTCGAACCCGCTCGTGGCCCAACATTTTTAAAATGAAAAAAAACCTTTAAAAACTCAATAACCAACTTAAAAAATTTTTCAATGTTTATTTATCAATAAAAAAGCCCTTATAAAGTCATTTACTCTTTAAATTAAAATTTAATACCTTCCTACTCGGCCTTGTAGTTGTTGCTCTCTCCACAAAATTACTTCCATTTTTATTTTCTTTAAATTTTTCTCTGCCCACAGGTAACTTCATTTTTTTCATTTTTAATGTTGTTGGCATTGTTGTAGTTGTCATATTATTTTCATTTAAATTGCTAGAACTGTAACCTTTCCTTGCTCCCAACAAAGCATGGTAAGAATCAGCAAAGCGAGAATCAGCCTTTAATTGAATAAAAAAATTAAAAAATGAAAAAAAATTAAAAGAAAACCTGAAATTCAGGCATTGAACCAAGTACCAGACCAACAACAGAAGCCACAATAAAAATCACTGATAGCAGGGTAAATAATTTTGAGAAAAGAGAAGAGGAAGGGCTTTCAAGTAAATGCCAAATAACTTTGCGAAGACCACGACAACAATTAACCTTTTAAAAATTAATTTGATTAGAATAAAAAAGTAGTCGAAAAAAAATTTTTGAAGGGTCTAAAAATATTTTTAAGCTGAAAAAAATCTTTTAATAAGAAAAATAAAAAATACAGGCATGGGTAAACACTCAAACTAGAACATATAAATAGGCAGAAAAATTCAATTATGAATCCTAAACACATCCAACTTAACCAACAACAATCACGAGACATCAACTAATTTTACCACTTAAGTATCATTTAAATAAATCACTAAAACCTGATCAAGTTGACGTTCAGTGTCCAATGTACGTTTCAACTTTTGTTGAGTATCCGTCAAAACAGAACAGCAGGGGGCCAGCTTTAAAATTAAAATATAAAACAAATTCAAATACAAAAAATAACCTCAACTCTAGTTAACCTCCAAAACAGCAATTCTTCACTGAATCGTTGAGGGCAAATTTCGGGAGGTTTGTGAAGCTTACCTGAAAAAATTTTTTAAAAAATTTCAAAAATTTTTAAAAATTCCAAAATTTTTTAAGAACTTTAAAAATGAAGTAAACCTGTAAGAAAATAGTCTAACACATGTTCAGCAACTTTTGAGTTTCTTTCCAAATAATATTCTCCATGTTGAAATCCGTCTGTAAGCATAAGGCGTTGATGATGCTCCAACCGGACTAAACGAGCCTTTAAAAAATTTTTCAAAATAAAAAAATATTAAAAAATTAAACCAATAAAGAATTGGGTTCTCTATGATCCAGCACAGTATCCGGGCGAAAACAAAAAGATTTTCCTCCAACATTTAATCGAAAAACTTCGTTGTTGCGCCAAGTGGAATGACGGCGTTCTTAAGAAAGAAAAAATCCTTTTGAAAATAAAAAATAAAATAAACCGTAACGATTCCAAACCATTTTGTTTCCACAGACTTCGAGAAAATTCCAAGAAAAAGAAATTGAACCGAAAAAATCTGAAAAATTAAAAAATTTATTAATAAAAAAGGCTCAAAAGGGTCAGAAAATTCTCCATAAGGATTTCGAACGATGACCAAAAATTTTTAAATAAAAATTCTGTCACCAAGAGAATGGTCGACTAGTGCCAATATTTTTGGCATCTTTGACCCCTCCAAACAAATTATTAAAAAAAATTTTTTTGGTCACAGTTTCAAAAGGTTCCCTCTTATCGCCCTAAAAATATTTCCTAAAATCTTAAAAATTAAAATACACACAAAAAATGTTGCTATTTTAGAAAATAGAATGAAGAAGAATTACAAGAAAAATGATAAAAAATAAAATAAACTCAATAAAAAAATTCCCGCATCTTAAAAAGAGCGTTAAATTGCTTTGAAATTAAGTCAGAAATGTGTGTGTCAACGCTAAAAAACGAGTGGGAAGAGATTTTTGAAATAAAAAAAAAGATTGCCATAAAATATGTAATGGAGGCACCCAGAAGAGCAACACAAAAAACAAAAATCGGAAAAAAATTTTTTAATTAGACGGAATTATTTAAAGTCTCCCCCATAAAATAGGGGCAAGATTTACCCAGTAGAGCAACACAAAAAAATTTTTTAGAAAATTTCAAAAGGAATTTTTTAATTTTTTTTAATGGATCCTGGAGAGACTAAAGTTTTCCTAAAAGACTAAAAAGAGACTAAAGTTTTCCTAAAAGACTAAAAAAAAGACTAAAATTTTCCTAAATTTTTTCAAATTAAAAATACCAAAAATTATCTCAAAAATAATTCAACACCATTTTTAGTGCGTTGCTCTTCTGCGTAGGCTAAAGGAAGATTTAAACGAATAAAGAAGAAAAAAACTAAAAAAAAATTACAGAAGAAAGCGGAAGAACACACACAAGTGCCGACAAAAATGAGAAAATGTGTGTAAAGAGTCAACGGTGTTTTGCTTTAATAAAAGCGTTGAGGAAGGAAACGTGTAAAAAGTAAAAAAAAATATAAATCTTGACACTAAAGCTAATGAGGGTTTTAATGCCTTTTTATTTAAAAAAGGCAAAATTAATGTTTTAAATTCCTATGGATAAAAGTGACTTTTTTAGAATATAAAAACGAAAATAAAGAAAATAAAAAATATTCCGGAATGTAAAAACAGAGAGAAAGACCGGGTTCGAACCCTCGACCCCCCAAAAGTGCCAAATTTAAATTAAAGTAAGAAAATATAAAAGAAACGTCCCTAAAGGGAAATGAGATCCAAAAAATTAATTCTCACTCGTTTAAAAATAGCGGGCGTCGACCGGATTCGAACCCTCGACCCCCAAAAGCGGCACATTTAGCCTTGAGAGAAACACCAAAATTTCAGCTCCCTCAAAATCCCCTACAAAATTTTAATCTAAAAATAACCTCTTTCGCCATCCTCCTTGCAACAACCAGTAGATGATCCATTAATATTTCCATCAAAAGAATATAAAAATTGAGGCTCATTGTCAGAATTATGCAAAACCACGGCCACCATTTCTTTAAGTACTCACATCAGATAATTATTAAGCATATTTTCTAAAAATAATAAAAATAATTTAAGAAAAAATCTCAGGAAAAATGACAGAGGCGTCAAAAAGACATTAAAATGGAGATAAAAAAGGTGTCATTTTTCTTGACACAACTTTTATTTTTAAATTTTTCTATAAAATTTAAACCGAAAAAATAACCACAAGCTTGTCAATCAATCAAAATTTAAAACAAAAACGTAAAGAAACCAAAAACTTCCTTTATTCTAGTTAGAACCGTGCTCACAAATAATCAATAAATCTATAGTTAAAGGTTAAAAAAGGCCATGAAGAAACCAACATCAACTTAAATTGATATCCTTTGGCCTGATTAAGTCAACTCAACAGGCCTTAAAATTAGGGTTGGGGTCCGGTTAACGGGCCGCTTTTGGCCAGTCTCCGACGAAAAGGTTTCTCGGGCTAAAATTCGATGCCCGACTCGACCTGCCTGATCGAACCGGGCCCCAAACCTCATTAAAATAACCTTAAAATACACCACAAAGAAAACTCAAACCTTGTTATCAAAACATCTTTTTAAAGAACAACATCCTTTTGTACAAGAACATCATCTTTTTCCAATAACCACATGAAATTCTTCGAAAAAAATAATTTTTTGCATGTTGAACAATCAATTATTATTTTTAAATTATATTTTTAATTTACATAATTAAATTTTTACAATTCAAAAAAAACTAATAAATATATGAAATTATATCAAGAAAAATATATAAAAAAATTGGAATGAAAAATGGCAAGTATATTCAATAAAAATTTTTTTAAGTAACTACATAATCAAAAAAACTATTTAAAATGAGAAAATTAAAAAACAGAGAAAAAAAAATTAAATTTTTTTATCGGAATTCTTGTCACATAACGCAGAATTTAATGCCTTTGGGGGGTCGAAGGTTCGAACCCGCTCGGGGCCCGATATTTTTAAAACGAGAGAAAACAAAATTTTTTCTTCTTTATTTTTCTTAATTATGTTTTTAAAAAATAAATTCTCCAAAAAGAATCAGTTTCGAAAGATTATTGGAAAATTAACAAGAGCAGAGAGGAGTCAAAGGTTCGAACCCGCTCGGCGCCCGATATTTTCCAAACTAAAAAAAACCAACAAAAAAACCGTTTAACATAAAAAATGACTCATTTAAATACCCGTATCATTTTTTAAATTAATTTAAACCTCCTAATCAAAACAAGTATCTCCTCGATTTCCTCTGTCTTCGACTAAAACCTCGAGAAAAAATTCCAGCTTGAAGACTTGCTCTTCTATTAAAACCTCCTCCCCCTTTTCCAGTATTAAATGGGGAAGCATGTCTGCTATTAAAATCTTCAGCTGCCAAAGTAAAAGAAATTGGTTGTTCTTGTTGTTGTTGTGGCACTCCTCCCCCTCCTCCATGTCCTGTTGATTCAGCAAATTTATCAATAATCATAGAGATTGGAAAGGCCAAAACAATAATTCCACAAACTGAAGCTACTGCTGCTACAACCTTTCCTCCTGTTGTGACTGGAACTAAATCACCATAACCAACAGTTGTCATCTTTAAAAATAAGAAATTTTTTTAATTTAATAAAAATCTGAAGATAAAAATTGTTATATTACCCAAAACTCCGATTCAGACAAACAAGATGTCATTTGAAAGGTTCACCGAGGGGATGCTCTTTCAAATGACATATTGTTTAGCCGAATCGGAGTATGAATGATATGACGGAAGGTTAAAAAAATTTCACAAACCGTCGCTACACACCACCACCAAGCAGAAGGAATTGAATAAAATTTACTATTTGGCTCATCTCTTTCAAAAAAATAAATTGCAGTGGAAAATAACATTATTCCAGTTAATAAAAACATTCCTAACATTGAAAGTTCTGCTGCTGAACGACGCATAGTTTCGCCAAATGCGCGAAGACCAATACTGTAACGGGCGAGTTTGAAAATGCGAGCAACACGTGCAAGCCTTAGAACACGAATTACGATAAGAGCTCCTTTAAAAGAGGGGAAAAATAAGGAGGGTAAAATTTGGGAAGTCGCCCCCTATTTTCTTTTTTTCCTGGTTCAATGACCATTTTAAGATTTTTTTTCTTCTTACTTTTCGCCTTAATCTTTTAAGAAAGTATCACAGATTACCATAAAATATTCCAAGCTTTTCGATCCAAAAATCGAAATCGTTATCGCTCAATCATTTTGTCACATAAAAAAGAAAAAAAGCTCAAAACGGTCAAAGATCAAAATGATCAGGAAAATAAGGAAAAGGTAGGCGACATCCAAAGTAAGCCATATAGAAAATTAAAACCTCTAAAATTGCGTAATTCAACATCATAAATTCCTAGCAAAGGAAGACAAGCTTCTGCCAGGAAAGGCACCACAGTTAGTAAATCAATTATATTAAGTGGCTGCCTAACAAAATGCCATTTATGAGGGATTACAGCAAAGCGCGCCAAATATTCTATTGTAAAGAAGAACATACAACTGAAAAAAAAAACAATTTTAAATTTTAATCCAAATTTAAGTCCAACATTGAATGCTTAAACCCTGAAAGCCTGCACCATTATAGGGAATATAGAAAGAGTTGGAGGGATTAAGAGGGATAAGCAACCAGATATACGAAAATAAGTAACCTGCTCTGTATTTTAAAACATATGGTACAGCAGCGCGCGCGTGTCAAGTGAGTAGACCCCTCTCTGTCCAAGTAGAGCTCTCTACCCTCCTTGAATCACAAATCCAACAATATCCCATTTAATCCTACTAATCTTTCTATAAACTCCTTAAAAATAATATAAGCTTTTAGGTGCAGGAATTCCAGGGTATAGGGCTTCAAAGTGACCCTCTAAATTTATTTAAAAAAAACCCAACCAAAGTTCAAGTATTTGAATTCCAGCAACAGGCGTTATATGATCCTCTAATTGAAATTCTGACATTGAAGAAAGAATTAAACAAGCCAATGAGAGAAGTACAAATAAAGCTGAAGCAAAGGACCACATTTTGGCAGCGAATGAAGAACGAGGACTTTCCAAAAATGTCCAAATAATAAGGCGGATACGGCCAAAACGGACATTCTTTAAGAGAGAAAAATTAGAAAATAATTTTTTAAAGAAAAATTAAACCTCAAATTCAACAGGTGGACAGCTTGACTCAACATAAATCTAAAAAACCCCAAAATTTCAAAAATTTAAACTTTAAAAAACAAACATTATCCAAAGATAATGGTGATGGACTAGATGCAAATCCTCCGCCTCCTCCTATTCTTTTACAACTTGGAGTTAGTGCATCAACTATACGACAACAATCAGCTAATGCAGTTATTGGAATACGCCAATATTCAATTTCATCACGCCATCTCATAGGGCAAATCTTTAAGAAAAATTTTAAAATCATCACTAATAAGTGTCGGAATAATACACCGTCCATGCAAAAATTTCTAAGCATAATACGGAGGTGTAGCCGAAACAGACTTTAAAAGCTAAAAACAAAAAGCGAAAAAACAAACCCCTAAAAAACTAAAATTTGGCAAAAGACGAAAAGCGAACCTGCTCAAGGTTCGGACGATTTTTGTCGGTGTTTTGCCACCAACACCCCTTAGCTTACGAAAAAATAAAAACAAACGTCAACTGGTCTGTGCATTCTTCCACAAATATAATAATCCAAAATATGCTCAAATACAGCTGCAGAACGTTCAAAATAATATTCATTTGTTTCAAAAAGGAAAGCGTCACAATCTAGTAGTCTTTGTGAATGGTCTTTTTCTGCAAATACAGCAAGTCGAGAACGATCAGAACATTGACGAATCTGAAAATTGATGAATTGAAAATTGATCCATTCCTAAACTCTCATACCTTTGTCAAGCTAAGTTGTGCACTTCGTCCACCAACATTTAGCCTAAGCTGTAGTCCGCTTCCACATTTTTTGAGAGGCTCTACATCATCATCATGTTCATCATCTTCACTATTTTGCTTCCTATTTTCTTCATCATCATCCACTTTAATTGCAACACATTTTGACGTCTTTTTAATATTATTTAAAGGTAATGCTACAGAAGGGAATGAAGCTGAGGAAGCCTTTTGTTCTTGTTTTAAATCTCCATTTGGTGTTGTACTTGATGATGCTGTTTTGTGAGGGATGGAAGGCCATGATTCCATTGTTGTTGTTCTGGGTGCTTCTGAGTTGTCGGCGTCCATCTGAATTTAAATTTCAAAAATTTCTAAATTTCAAATTGTCAACATTTCGAAATGTCAAAACCTCAATCTGCCAACTATTCAAAATGTCAACATATCAAAATATCAGTATTTCGAAATGTCAACATTTCAAAATGTCAATATTTTTAAATGTCAACATTCCAAAATGTCGACTTTTCGAAATGTCAACAGCTCAAAATGTCAATTTTTAAAATTAAAAAATTTTCAAAAAAATTTCCCCCTACCAACGGCAATGTTGCAGGACTTTGCCTTGAATTTGTTGAGTTCATCAACGCAAAATTAAATAAATCTGCGCAGCTTTGTTGTCGCTGTCTTTGACGAAAATTATGTCTCTGGTAAACTCTTTGAGAACCTCTGTTGTTGCTATTATTATTTTGGAAATTAGAATTATTTAAATGGGAATTCCAACGAATTCTAGGGATCATTTTTAGGGATTTTTTTTATTTGAGGGAAGGGGGGATTTTTACGGGGAGAGTTTGGGGGTTTTAAGGGGATTTTAGAAGGTTTTTTGGGTGTTTTTGGAGAAGTTTTGGAGGAAGGGCTATTTTTAGGTTGATTTTTGAGGGGAGTTTTAACAGGGGTTTTTGGGGGATCTTTGGACTTTCTTTGGATTTTTTCAGAATTTTTTTAGATTTTTAAAAGAATTTAATTGCGCAATAGTGTTAAAAATAGCGCAAAAAATAAATAAAATAATAAAAGAGAATAAATAAATTTGATGAAAATAATGGCATTTTTTGAAGAATTGGAAGGAAAAGAAGAGAAGGAAAAAATGGATGTTTAATGAATGGGAGGGGAAGGCTTTATTTATATTTTCTTTTGAAAAAAATAGATGGATGGCAACGGGGAAAAAAAAAATAATTTTTTATATGTTTGCCAATTTAAATGCTAGTGTGTAGATAATTTATTGGAAGACGTGACAAGACTTTTTTTTTAAAAATAATTAATATTAAAAAAAGAGATGCGCATACGCTGGGTTTTTAATTGTTAATTAATGATTGCTTTGAAAAAATGCTTCTTAAAAATTTTATTTTCGTAGAAAAACGTGCAACTATTTTTGAATAATTTTAAAAAATCTAAAAACGTTTTTTCAAGTAAAAGTAATTAATCCATTTATGGACTTAAAGATTTTTCAAAAGAATTTTTTTAATTTTGGACATTATTTAAGGAAAATGAAAAGATGAATGAAAAAGAATATTTAATTTTAGGACATTAAAAATATGGAAAAATTCAAAAAAAAATTTCTTTGAATTTTTGGAAGCTTTTCAAGGAAGACGAACAGATGAATGAAAAAGTATAGAATTCAGGAATTTTAAAAAAAATTAAAAAAAAATTTTTTTAAGTTTGAAGGTATTGGAAAAAATTTTTTCATTGCTAATGTTTGTTTTAAAAATCCAAAAAAAATTTTCAAGCAAAAGAGGAACTAGAAAATTAAAAAATAATTGCGTGCCATCGCGCAAAAAATAGGAAAAATAAAAAAGGCCACACACAAAAAGTCAACAGAAAAATATTAAAGGGAAGGAAAAATTCTCCATAATTCATAATTAAGATGGGGAAACAAAAAATAATTTTTTCTCCAAAATTCCCTCAAACTTTTTAATTTTTTAGGTATTGGCATAATTATTTAACCCTCTTTCCCCTCCTATTTTTTATTAAAAAAAGAAAAAAAAATTAGAGAGAAACATCTGAAATAAATGATAAGTTAAGTCCCCCCTTTCAAAACACTCTAAAATTCATCAAAAAATAAAATAAAAAAAATTTTTTAGCTGCCACATGTGGCAGCTTAAAACACGTCAAACTCCTAGAAAGAAAAAGTTTTTACAATCAATCATATAAATAAGATTACCTGAAAGTGGGGAAAATAAGTAGGGAAAATATTTATAATAAGGGGAGAAATTAAAGAAAATATTTTTTTAACTTATAAAAAATTAACAAAAAATAATAGATGGGAGTGGATTAATTAAAAATTTTTCAGAATTTACCAGAGGATTAAGTAAATTCAGAATTTTGAAGTAATTCTGGAATTAACTCTAATTAATTCTGAAATTAATTCTGAAGCATTCTGAAAATAATTATGATAAATTCATTAATCCAGAAGCAATTACTAGAAATTCCAGAATTATAGTAATTTTGAAAAACTCAAGGTCAGTTATGAAATTTCTGATTTTATTCTGAAAATTTAATTTGCAGCAATAAAACTCCCCAAAAATAGAGCAACAACAAGCTTATTTTCATAAAAATGCGTTGGCGTCAATATAAAAAATAATAAAAATGTGTGTATTGATGGCCAACAATATTTCAAATTGAAGCTTTTAAAAATATTTTTTCTTCAGTAAAGATTGAATACTTGCTTTTTTAAGCAATTTACGCGCGCTACTACTATTTTATTTTTTAAATTGACTTTTTTTCAAAAACAATTTTTTATTCGCCTTGTAAGAATCTTTTTTTACTTGCTTATAGTTCCTAGTAGGATTTTTGCCTTTCTCCTGACATTTAAATTTAAAATGCTTCTTACAAATTCTCAACTTAATCTCTTTCTTACTAAAGTATATGAAACATCCCTCATTAAAACATCCCTTTTTTTATCTCTATAAGGTCTATAAGGTAGAAAAACAAAAATTGATAAAAAAAGAGTTCAGGAAGTTTAAAAAAGTGTCCTAGGGTTGAAATAAAAATCGAAACTTAGAGATAAAAATTTTAAAAATCGCAGGTTACCGAAAAATAAAAATTAGGGCTCGCAAGCAACATAGGACAACCTAGGACACCTCGCAACACCTTTATGAAGTTAAAAAAACAAAATTTGATAAAAAAAATTCAGGAGGGGTTTTAAGAGTGTCCAAGGATTAAAATAAAACCGAAGCTCCGACTTGAAAATTAAATTTAAAAAATCACAGATTCCAAAAATATTTTTAATTCGGTCGCAACCCTTTTTTAAATTCCGGGTTCTTTTAAAATTCTGTCGCCAAGACGATAAATTAAAGCCATATTGGAAGGATGAATTATAGTAATTGGAACCTTCTCCCTTCCTCGGAAAATAAATTAAGGGTAGATAAGAAGACATAAATTATATACTATCTTGTCAAGAAGAAACAAAAAAACACACATAAATTTTACGGTGTGATTTTTAAAAATAAATGCGTTTGTTTGTGAAAAGCACCGGAAGGTGCAAAAATAAAGCTTTTTTTCTCTTTTAAAGCTTATCTTGACTTCTTGACAAGATGCAGGAATGCGCTTTTTAGGAAAATTAAATTGGCCAAGTAAAAAATTGAGTAAAAAAATAGGGAATATATAAAATAAAAGAGAAAAGAGATAAAAAAAATTAAAGGAGTAGGCAAAAATAGAAGGAAAAAATTAAAAATTTCAAAAAATAAAAAATAATACTAGGAAAAGTAAGCGTATTTTGTGATTTTTCATTAAAACTCACAAAAAAAATTTTTAATTGAAAAATAATACTATCGAGAGTAGGCGAAAAATAGGGCGAAAAATTAAAAATTTCAAACAAAAAGTCAAAAGAAATTTGAAAAAATTCAAAAAAATTTCTTTAATTTTCAAAAAATCTCGAAAAATACTAAATCATTTTCATTAAAAAATGATTTTTTTCCAAAAATAAAATATAAATCAAAGAACACCATCAAGAAAAAAACTCTCTGTCTCTCAACAACAACAAATGTTGCCAAAAATGAGGCAAAGGTTCTCTAGGGGATATATTAAATCCTCCTTCCTATCCATCAACTCTACCTCTCTCTCTTACCTAGTTACAACTACAATTATTAACACGCATTTTTTGACAAGATAAAAAAGGAAAAAAAACACGTGACAAAATAAAGATTATTATTCCATTCCTTTCCTTTTGTTACTATTTTTGGAGGAAAAATTATGTAAAATTGGAATAAAAAACATTTTTTGTGGTTCCCCAAAAAATTAGAATTCAAAATTCATGATTTTTTTCGGAACTCCTAAAAAACAGCTAATCAGGAAAAGATAAGGAACAGGAATATTTTATGAAGATCTACTATTTTGTTTCGCAAAAAATTTTCAAAAAATTTACAGAAATTTTCTTTCGGTTCGAAAATTTATTTCTGAGTCCTCCTAAAAAGAGTCAGTAAAAGTCCCCAATATTTTTTTTTAAAATTTTGAAGCAAAATTTATAAAAAATAAAAGATAAACAATTAAACAAAATTTTAACTTTGAAAAAAAAAGAAACCCACAATGCCACATTAGTAAAAAAAACTTGTTTCATCCATGATTTTTTGAAACTTTTGTTTTTTGGAATTTTTGAGGCTTATAAATATCATTTTTGAATTTCTCATAATTTTTATTTTTTCGATATTTCTTCCTTTTTTAATTTCTTCTCTTCAATTTTCTTCTTACTTGACTTCCTCTTCTTCTTCATTTGACACCATTTTTCTTCATGATTTTTTGATTTTCATTAATAGTAACATATTTATTTCCTTCATTTTCTTTTAATAAAGATAAAGAAGGCAAATTTGGATCAAGTTCAAGTAATGGAGCTGTTGGAGAATTTGAAGAAATATTTAAATCAGTTGAAGCTGTTGTTGCTGCTGCCATTTCTTCTTTTTTCTTTTCCAATTTTTCTTGTTTTAATTCATCTGCTAAACATTGACTTTTTGTTCTTCTTCTAGCTGATGGACGCAATTTTGGAAGGGCAGCTAAAGAGATTGAAAAATTTTTTTTAATTTTACTTGAAATTTTTTAGATTTTTCTTCAAATCCAAGGAATCTAAACTACACGATTACCCAAAAATCATAAAGTTCCCGACGTTTTTTTTGAACCGGGATCTCGAGTTCCCGAGGGAATTTATTTTTGGGAAAGGATTCCGAGTTCCTAAACATGAGACTTTATTTTTTTGGCCCGGATCCAGATTCCCAGAAACAGAAAATAGTTCTAGGTAGGGATCACGATTTCGAGTCTGAAAATAAACTTACACGGATATGGTCTAAAATCTCCACTACTACTTGCAGTTGTATAAACTTTCTTCTTTTTATAACATTTTGCTTCTTCAAGTGCTTCAGCCAGTGCAATGTTTGAAACTGATGGATCCAACAATTCTCTTTTTGGAAATCTTTCGGCATTCATTAGTTGTTCATGGGTTAACTGAACATCGTACATTGTTAATTTTGGAGGTGTCGTGTCCTGATTATATTCAGCAGACAATAAAGTATGTAAAGCTTTATCCCATTGTTCTTGACCACAATCTTCCAAAATTGAACTAAAATTTGGCAAAATTAGATTTTTTGGAATTTTTGAGGTTTTTCTTATTTCACACCCTTCCCCTCTTCACATAAATTTTTTCAAAAAAAAAATCAAAAATTCAAAGTTCCAAAAATACATTTCCAATTCTTAAAAATTTTCCAGAAAAATTTCCTAAAAATTTTTTCCTCTTACCAATACATTCGCCAAGTTGTTCTCCTAGGAAATATTCTATTAAAATGACCACGTCGTTTATTTTCTAATTTTAATTTTTCAAAAAGTAGTTCAACACGTTCCAAATATAATGCTGACATTCTCTCGGAAGAGAAGGTTACCTTTAAAATTAAATTTTTTTAATGATAAAATGACCCCCAAACTTTAATAAAAAACTAATAAAACCTTTTGTGGAGTCTGCATTCTTTTAATTTTAGAAGCTCTAGGCAATTGTTTCGATTTTTCCTTTTCGTTTTTACTGGAAGAACATTGTTGTAATACGTCCTCATCATCATCCTTCAGTGTAACAAAGTGGTTCACAGATGAAGTGGATAATAGAGAACTCGTTGAAGGCGTTTGTGGATGAAAAGAATTTTTCTAAAATTAAAAAAATATTCTTTAGAAAAATAAAGGCAAAATTAGTAAATCTTCCGAAAAAAATAATCCAAAAATTTTCTCAAAAATTTTTTCAAACAAAAATTTCAAATAATCTGGCAAAAACAAACCAAATTTTGTCCATTTCCATTATCCAATTTTTCATCATTAGACTGTTTTTTCCTTCGTTTACTTCCTTCATCAGCTACTTCATCTTCTTCATCACTAAAATAACATTCATTTTCCATGTTTTTATCATTCACCAAAGGTATTGAAGCAACATTTAAAACATCACAAAAAAGATGCGTTTTTAGTAAAGTGTCGAGTGGAGCATCACTTTAAAATTTTTTAAAAATAATTGAAATTAAATTTCTAAAAAAACCATGATAAACTTGGAGACAAATTTATTTCAAGTAGCCAAGGCTTCAAATGTTCATCCACCAAAATGTCAAACCCAAAAAGTTCAAAACAGCATTTTGGATGTAAATTTACTGGAAAAAATAAAATTAATTTATTATGAAAATTATTAAACAAACATTTTCTACACATTGCAGCAACCCGCGGTTGGATAGATAAAAGTGATTTAATCACTATATCCTCAATGCGTACCATTAATACTGAAAAAAATAATTTTAAAGTATTTCAATATCAAGAACAACATCAACTAGTCTAATAAAAGTCATCGGAAGAAAAACGCTTTTTTGGTTAAGTTGGATAATTTTTAAAATTAATAGAAAAATGAGTATGGTTCGATACCCAGCAACGGTAAATAATATTTTCGACACTTATTTTTCCTCAAAAACTTATTTTTCCTTAAAAAAGTCAAAATAAAAATTTAAAAAAAAATTTACATTCAGTATCAATCCCAGAATTCTCCTCCAAATGTCTTAGCAATGCTCCCAAAGTCCATTTATGCCCCATATCTTCTACAGAACAATCGTTGTTTCTAAAAAACATCTTTTTAAATTAAAATAATTTTAAAAAACCTAATAAAATATTCGCTCGTTTTATTCAAAACATAATTTGTCAAGTGTTGATTTAAATCATCAAAATTAGTTTTTCCATCTTTGTAAGTATGAACAGCAAAACGAGCCAATCCATCACTAAAAATAAAAATTAGAGCAATCTATGCAGTTGGAAAAATATCAGACATTAAAAATGCTGTTTTCGGGAGTCCTTTTAATTGTCTTCCAGCCCTAGTGTTGAAAGAATTCTGCTCTAGCCTACCGCCCATTGACATATAACACTCCGTGATTTTTAAAATTATGCTTAATCAGTAATTCTATTCTAGCTAAATAATCTCCTATTTAAGTCAACTCCCAGTAAATCTCTCAATCTTCCTTTTAAGAAAAAAACAAGAAAACCTGTACATGTAGACAATCAAAGGGTAAAAAGATGTGACAAGAACATAGATCCTCAAGTCCCATTTTAATCCATTAATCAATAAAGGGCGTTCAATATAACGTGAAATAACCCATTTTTGACTATTGTCGATTGAATAAACCTCAAAATTTGAAGATTAAAAATTTCCCTTAAAAACATTAAAAAACCTCATCAGCCCTGCTTAAAAAGAAAATTCCTTTGCCAAAAGAGCCACCAGCAGGTTTAACAATAAATGGAGATTGTTTACCATTTTCAATTTCTTTGCAGCAGTTGACCAGTTTTGTGCAGTTTTTATCGTTTAAGGGCGTGCAGAAGAAATCAGGAATCTTTAAATTTTTAAAAAATTTTAGGAAGTCGCTAACGCAAATTTTAAATTATAAAAGCAAAATGGTCTAATGAGTTATCCCAAACCACAAAAGGGGGAATTTCTTTCTGCTCAACCTCAACCACTTTATAAAGTCAGACCCCTCTCTAAACGAGTCCGCGTAAACAAATTGGGGTAACCCTCAAATACCAATAAAACTAACAAAATTAAAATATTCCTGTCCATACAAAGCACCCGCTCGGTTGACGTTTTCGTACAAACAATCTTTTTTCTTTAGAAAAATTTTTTTTAAATACTTTAAACGTAAAAAACCGTAAGCATCCAACTTCTAGGAAAATGGTTCATCCTTTGCCAGGATTTTAATTGTCGCATAGAATTTGTTGATAAATGGGTGTTTGTCCAAATCAAGTTGCAGTGAAGATTTTTGCTCGAACACTTAAAAAATTAATTTAAAATATTTAAAATAACCACAAAAAAACCTGTAAAAATCCATAACTAAACAGCAACGATTTTACGAGCTTTGAATCACTTTTAATCAATTTAAAACAAAGATTAAAGTCCTCGCCCAATTTTGTAAATTTTCGTTGAGTAGATGAACCAACAACACGACGACCAATGTATCTAAAAGCGATTGGGTCAAATGACATCAAATAAGGATCCTTAAAAATTTTGAAATTATTTTTATAAATTATAATTGAAAACCTTTCCTCCATTTAGCGTATTTGTAAAATCTGAAGCAATTGTAAAAGAATTCAAAGTTTTGGCATCAAAATCCATATTTGCAAATATTCAAAAAAATCTGACACTAAATACTCTGACAAAAAAAACAAATTAAAATTAGGCCCGCGCCCTTAAGACCCCAACCCAATATAAGCGCAAATCCATCACAAATTTAAAAATAAAGATATAGGTATGAATATTACAAAATTAAATCAAAATCTTTGCCAAAAATCAAAATATTTTTATTCAATAAAAATTCAAAAAAAAATAAAACTTAACAAATCTCCAAATTAAATCCAACAATAATAAATGAGAAACCAATTAAAAAAAGTTTAACAATCAAAATATTTTCTTATTTCAAAAAGACTCTTCATTTCTCCTCCTTTTGACGCAACATAAGCATACAATTATTAAAAAGTAGAGTTGCCAATACAATATTTTTCTCAAGAGAATCACAACCCAAAGATGAAACAGTTTTCCATTTTGGATAAGAATTGCATAATGTAACGTATCCATCTTCGTACTTAAAAATTTTTTTATTGAAATTTTATAAAGAATTTGGGCTAAAAACTCCGCCCTGCCCCCCCCCCCCCCCCCATTCCCTTCACTCCCCCTCCAACTCCTCATCCATAGACCTAGTACTTCATCAAATAGGCTATGAGTGGACCCACAGCTCATGAATAGAAGAACGAGAAGAAAAACCCAAACCAAGAGGGACGGGCAGCTAATTGTAAGGGGAGGATCTACACACCATCAAACCCCAGAAACTGGGCACCAAAACTCCAAAAACTAAAAAAACAACCTTAAGATCAAAATCAATAGAAAGCTCATTATCGTTTTCATCATAACGACGAGAATTGTTCATACGATTCACAAGATAAGCAGACTCCTCATCTTCATAAATCAATCTTAAAAATAAATTTTTGAAACAAAATTATATTAAAAATTCACCGTTGTCCATGCATCCGTACAAGACGAACTTCAGTCTCTGGTCCAATAAGTGGACGTTTTTCTTTGTCCAAAAAGTTGTCACAACCACCGGCTCCACCCATACAAGTTTGTTTAAACTCTTGAGGACTCAATAATGGTGGAAGTGCAGTTCGGAAGAAATCTTTAGCTATCAAATCGATAAATGATGGAACATAAGACGCAAACTCAGAAGCAAATTTTCGCGAAAATATTTTGGCGTATGGAATAAGCCTTAAAAAATTAACTGTTTAAAGGAGCTAAAAAATGTAAAAACAAACCGATTGTTCAACGAATCCTCATTAGGATAAACAATATTAGCCATTCCACACATATCAAACAAATGTGGAGGAAGTGAACCTCTCAAACGTTTTGATTCATCTGTCAATAATTGGATAAATTCGCTTGATGCTTGCTCAAAGAATTGGGCATAAGAGAATTTACGACAAACACTAATAGTGACATGATGAGAATGCTTGTCTGGACCAGTATTGGCCTTTAAAAAGACAAAAAATCTTACAAAAATCAAAAAAAAAAAATAAGAAAAGGAACCTGATGAGTAAATCCACGAGGAACATAAAGAATGTCGCCTTGTTCTAACCATCCATCAAAAATTGGCTTAAAGTTCGCAAAGTCCTTATCAGTAAAATTGCGACTTGACTCAAGCGGCAAAGTTTCATCCAAATCTCTCGGTGCATAAATCTTCCAATGTTTACGGCCTTCAACTTGTAACATAAAAGCATCAATATCGTCATAATGTGGCGCAAAACCGGCAGATCCAGCAGGAGTTAAATAACTTTAAAATGGAATAAAGGCAAAAAAATTTCCAAAAGAAACTTGTTAGCTCCAACATAAGAACAAAAAACTTCTTGAAGAGCATCACAAATATACCAAACTTTGTCATTAAAAACTTGAGGATGAACACATTGAAGAGAACGTCCATTTTGAAAATGTTGAAGAGCATTAACAATTGTAGCGCGTTGCATTTCTTTTTTTAATGGATTGTGGGTTTCACGAACTCCAGAAACATAAGTTGCAACATTAACATCTTGACCATAAAGAACATTATTCTAAAAATGACAAGAAAGATAAAGAAAATATAGACGGGTGAATTTTATGGAATTTAAAACTAAGAGCCCCATAACGTCAGATTCTAGAGGTCTAACTTTAACGGCAATAATTCGGCTCAAAGTGGAAATCACTTGGATAACCACTTCGTAATAGTAAGCCGGGGATTTTCCAACGAATGATACCGGGACTATACCGTGGTAACAGTTAGAATTCCCTCGTTAGAATTCAAGGAAAACAGCTAAAACAACTCACATTCTTAAGCATATCCTTGAAATCCTCGGTATTAAAAAATCCATCAAAATAACCATTTGTAACACGCTTCAATACAAGAACACGCTTTTGAAAAATGTTGCTTTAAAGGAAAAAAATTATTTAAAATAAAATTAAAAAACTTGAAAAATTCATCAGTCACAATTGGACTCAAAATCCATTGTAAAACTTTCAATCCAACTTGAACGGAATGTTCAGTGTTTTCAGAAAATTTGAACAATTTGAATGGACTCGAAGCTGTAGAATAATCCTTCTGTGCATTGAGAACAAGACAATTTCCAGTGTTTGTAGTAATGTCATAACCAGTAATTTTCATGTCGAGCACGTCTTAAAAAATAAAAGATTTATAAAATCTTGAAAAATTTAAAGTGTCCATTCTCATAAAATTTTAGGGAATACCACGAATCTATCTCAAATAGCAGTGGGATAATAACCAAGGCTGGCTTACAAATAAACTTATCGCCAAAGAGTATAGTTTATTACAGATTTTAAGTCCCACACAATTTCCAAAAGTGGAAAGAAAAAGAAGGGAGGTACGAAATTTAATAATTTAACACAAACCTCCCAAACAATGCAATTTAAAACCTTTAGAAACATCTGGCTCGCTTCCGCTATCCTTCTCATCTTCTTCCTCATCAAAAATCAAAGAATCATCCTCCTCATCCATCAAAGAATCATCTTCACCATCTTCAGAATCATCAAGACCCAGAGACTCGCCATCGTCTTCATCTTCGAGATCCTCCAAATCAGATTCATCCTCCATGTCAGAATCATTAATACTGCCATTCTCGTCGAAAACAACATTTGATTTGGCTTAAATTGAAAATTTTAAGTTTCAAATAAAATTTAAAAAACCCAAACCTTTTGGTTTAGCGTCCTTTTTCCCTACAATATCATTTTTAACAATTCCATCTTTTTTGTTGTTTATATCCTTTTTAGCGTTGGTATTCAATTCCATGTCCTTTCCAAAAGAGCTTGTCAAGGTTTCGAGTTTGACGCGCTTTGTTGGAGGAGTCTCACGAGGACTACCTGAAAAATAAAAATATTTTGCTTATATGAACCTTGTCAAAAACCCCAAGAAACAAAATCGAAAAAATTGTAAAAAACTAAAAATATCAAATGGTAACAAGAAAAAACAAGAATAAAATCAAAATTAAAGATATACCAAAACGCTTTGCTTGAGCATCATTTTTGCTCACCCCATCATTCTTAGCACTCCCAACCATTTCAAAGTCATCACCAGAAGAATCTGAAGAAGTTTCAAATTTGACCTTCTTTTTGCCAGAATCCTTGGGGCTTTCTAAAAAAATAAAATCAAAAATACAATGATTTAACAAAACCTTTCTCCTTCGACAAAGCACTCGTGTTTGGCGTAGTCTTCTGCCCACCAAAGTTTTTGTTAGGTTGCTAAATAAAGGTAGGAACCTTTAAAGAAACAAAAAAAAACCTGTTTCATCTGACTCATTGGCACATGAACAGCGTTAAACCCATCATTCCTCATTTTATTTTCCTTTGGACGTTGTTGTTGTTTTTGCGGGCTAGAAACTTCAGCATGGTCAGCCTTATCGTCAATAATGTCCTTTTTTGCGGAGACTTAAGAAAAAAAATTTTTTTGCCTAAAAACCCCCAAAAAACTTACAGGCAGATTTTTCATTCATCAAGCGCTTCTCAAATTTATCTCCACCATTAAAGGCTCCCTTATTAAAACCTCCTTTATTACCGCCATTGAAAGCGCCTCTATCCTTTTTCATCCCTTGATTGTTGTTCATTGGCTTGTTTTGATTAAACTTCTTATTAAACGGTCCAGAACCAAATCTGTTTCCTCCAGCAGCATTTTGCTTGTTTTTCTTATTTTTATTCTTTCCCATTTTAAGTAATTAAATAAAGTTGTATAGAATCTATAAAATTTAATTGAAACGTAAAGTAACCAAAAAAATTAAAAAAAGAAAGGCCAAAAATAGGCCAAAAATGGCAAAAACAAGTCCACTTTCCTCTAAAAAAGAAGGAATCAATTAATCGACCAGTTGAGTATACTTTAATTTATAAAAAAGAGTTTTGAATATTACTAGACTCAACCGTCCTACCGTAATTAAAACTGTATTATCTACTCTATTTCTTTTTCTCTTCATTTCCTATTATATTTTTTACTTTTTTCTTTATTACCTTTATTACTTCGAGAACACATTTTCATTTTGTAAAATTGAATTTTCGGCTTTTCTTCGCCACTAACTTAAAAAAAAATTTTTTTTAATTATTTTTCATAAATTTTTTTTTCTAGGTAGTCTAAAATCTGTTCCTTTTCTTGTTTTATTATGAATGAAATTTCGAAAAATGTTTGTTACTAAATTAAATATTAATTTATAAATTTTTAGGATTCTTCCAATGATACTTCAAACAACAATGTGGAACATGTTGAAAATGTTAAGTTTGATATGGCTTTGGCAGATTCGAAATATATCAAGTTTGGAATTTTTTGAGTATTTGAAATTTAATTTTCACCTAAACGGTGACTCCAAAAGCCAGAAAAAAATTCGGACGGCCATATTTTTCCATAGGATGGGTCCGAAATCCAGTCTTTTCTCGATCTCCGTATTATTTCCTTATCCGATTAATTTAAAAAATCAATTGGTTCGGCTCTATTTACAAATCTTGATCCATTTCCGAAAAAATCGATTTGCCTGGCTCTAACAAAAATATTTTTAAGCCCAATGAGAATGCACTATATGAGAAAAGGACATCAGCTCGTCTGGTAAATTTACCTAATTTAAAATTTACTAAAAATCAACTTCTTTTAGGGACTTTGCACTTGAATACGACAGCGTTTCCGTTCTCCTCTACCATTTGGAAAGAAAAGAATTATTGCTTGTCAAACAGTTTAGACCACGTAAATATTTTTTAATTTTTTCTCTCATTTTTCTGATTTTTAGCTGTTTTTATTCACGCGGTCAGAGAAAAGGCAGAAAATGTTGAAAAGTCTTTAAATGAGATTGAATGGAGTAAATATCCAATTGAGTTGGGCGAGACGTTGGAACTTTGTGCTGGATTAATTGTGAGGTTTTTAAATATTTTTTAAAGTTTTTTTGATAAGTTAAGATGAGTTTCAGATTCTCCTTAGGACTGAAAATCGTACCTTATGGTACCTTTTTTGTAGTAACTTTTTTAGTGAAATCCTAAGCCTAATTGCCTCTCCATTCATGGTGCCACCTGTTCAAGTGCTAAAGCAGACTTGCTCCCGTTAAGTCAATTGGTTGCTCCCCGCTCCAAGACACTACCCTCTTCAAGACGCTTCCCTCCTCTAATTTAAATCATTTAGAAACTTACCAAATCTTTATTTAAAATATTAAAAAAATCCCCAACATTTTCTTTAGGATAAACCAGGAACTTCCACATTGGATCACATCCATCAAGAAATTATGGAGGAATGTGGCTATAATGTGCCTACAAACTTAATTCAACCAATAAAACGTTATGTGACTGGTGTTTCTACTTCTGGTTCCACACAACATTTGTTTTATGCAGAGATTGTACGTCGGTTTTTTTCAATTTTTTTGGAATTTTTAAAAATTTTAATTTTTAACAGAACGAGTCAATGCGCGTGTCAGATGGTGGCGGTAATCCTTCTGAAGGAGAATTTATCAAAAAAGTTTTTATGAAGCCGGAAGAAGCAGCCAAATTCCGTTCTGATATAAACATTGCTATAGCGCCACCTTCACTTTTATTTGCTTTAACTTGGTGGCTAAATGAACGGCGTCCTGCTTCTTAGGATTTTGAAGGTTTAATTAATGTTGTAATGTCCAATTTTTTTGAGGATTTTAGTTTGGGCTGTCCAAGATCGGTTATTAACCTTTTTCCAAATTTTAGGACTCCAGGGACTATATTTAAAAAAAGTGTTGTCCTGGGTTGATAAGGATTAACTCTAACGTTGGGGTTTTATTACCTGACTGACAATGCTTAAAAGAACCTGGTAAACTCTCCAAGGTACTCTTACCTCGTTTTCCATATTTTAAAACTCCATTTATCTTTTTTGGGTTTTCAACGGTTTCGGTTATTCATAAAACCGATTTTGTTTTGGAGGAGTTTTTACAAGATTTTTATTTAGTTTTTACAAGACATTTTATTGTCAGTACTGGCCTGGTAAATTCACCGAGGTATTCCAATCTCTAGTATCCTCTCTAAATTTTTAAGTTTAATACCGATAGTGGACAACTCTAACTAACAATTAAAATGAATTATTGTATTTTTTGGAGTGGTTCTAACATAAATATACTAATTATTTTATCCCATTCTCTCTCCTTTTAAAAATTCGTTTAGAACCATTTCTTTAAAGCCTTATATACCCAAAAAATTTAAATTAAACCAAACTTTGTCTATATATTTTTTTAGCATGAAAACCAATATTTTTTAAAAACCCTTTTTAAGTTTAATTATTTAATAAAAAAACTCCAAATTTTTGAAAAATATTTTTAATGGTCAAAACAATTACATTAAGGGTTATAACAAAATATTTGACTGGAAAATAAAAATAAAGTGAGATCGTTTATAATATTAAAGATGAGAAATGTTCTCTGGTCTAGTTTATGAGTTCCCTAAAATTATAACTTATAAGATTCATTGATTTATAAACTTAATCAGAGCCAAATTTTCAATGGACTCGAAGCTTCATTGGACTCATAAACTAGATCAGAGCCAGGAGATGTCACGGGGTGCCCGAAAAAACAGGACTTTTTTCGATGCGAAACCCAATTCAAGGGAAATTTTGAAAACCCCGACCTAACATTTTTCTCAATTCCTGACATCCCCGGTTTACATTAAAAATACAAAATTTAAGGAAAATCACTAAAAATCAAATCAAAATTATTTATTGTTTTCCGGCATTTGATGAATCCCCTCTAAATTTGTTATAATTACTTCGTTTACTTCCACCAACAAATCCTCCTTTGTTCCCCATCCCAACTGAAGAAGCTAATCGTTTATGTACTCTTTTTTGTGCTAAAGCAAATAAACGTCTTCTAAAGTGTTTAGAAAAAAGACAGAAGAGAATAAAATTGCTAGCCTTTCCAAAAATGACTAGAGCGCTAAAAAATTTGGGGAATTTTTAAAAATAAATTTTTTAAGAAAACCTGCAAACTAAAGTTGCATTGTACCATTCTCTTTGATCTATTCCGGTCAATAAAAGATTTTGAAGTAAATGAACAATTGCTGAGGGTCCATTAGTTAAAGTAAACATCGAAACAATTCTTTAAAGAAAATTTTTTAAGAGAATTTTTAATTAAAAAATAATTACAATGCAACTGTTATTGTTACTCTTTGTTCAGTTTTTGCGTGTAATAAGTGTTGATTTAACCCCTCAGAAGAGTGTGAACTGCTTTGGCTGAATCTGGAATAAAAAAAATTTATTGAAGGAAAGTTTAGCTTAACAGGGGTTAGGGAACTATGTTAGGGAACCTGAAAGGAGGCTTATATAAGGGAGCCTGGAGGGGGCCTATATAATGAAGCCTGAAAAGGAGCTCAAAATAGAAGGCCTGAAAGGGAACTCATATTAGCGGGGCTAATTTCAGGGAATTCGTATCAGGGGACTTGAAAGGGGCCTGAACGTTCAGCATATCAAAGGGGGCTCAATCATCCAAAAAATACCACGGAATCTGCGCTATATTAGGGACCTGAAAAGGGTAAGCCTCAGCGGTCTTACGATTTTTAAGGTAGTTGTTCTTGAGACCCCTAAGAACTATTAATTTCAAGAAGAGTTCATTAATACCCAAACAAATTTAAAAAAAGCAAACTTGCTAAGCGGTTGTTTACTGCCTTCCCTAAGACTTTCTCCATTTTCTACATTTTTGTGTTGTTTTTGACTCCAACTTTCATTCCTATTCAAATTATTTAATTGTTTTGATCTCCTTCTTAATGCACACAAAAGCATTGTATTTAAAATGGCGAGAACAATAATTGGGAAAATTATACTGAAAAGAATTTTTATTAAATTTTTAAGTAGAAAAACCTGAAGAGAACGTTGAGTAAAGTGCTGACAGACTAAAAATACAAATTTGATTTTTTTAAATAATTGGAATCTTACGATAAATTTTCTGAAAGTTTCTGAATACGGATTGCTCTGATTTGGTGCAAACCAACGCTCTTGATTTACAGGCAAGCATTTCGAATAAAGTTGACTTCCGTTGCAAAAGGCTCTGACTAGGCAGACATGTGCAACATGCTGAATTTGTAAAAGAAAAATTAAGTAACGGAGTTTAGAATTAGTTTAAGAAATAGGAGAGGGTTTGTCGTGGTCGCACAGTTAAACAAAATTTAAAAGAAATTAGTTTTTAATATTTTGGCATTATGTATTTAATTGGACAAAATGTCATTTTGTTTGGCGTCGGGATTTTTCAAAAAAATTTTTTTTTGCCCTGAGAAATTTTCTTGATTTTTTAAAATTTTTAACAGTTTTATGTTTTCTTTTTAGTGACTTTGATACATTAACTTTAAATGATTTACTTGATGTGCTGTAAGCAATCCAGGAACGGCAACAATAGCACAAATCAATCCGACCATTTTCCTTCTTGTAATGTGCCCACGAGCGGCAAGTGGATTTCTGATGCCAATTAGACGATCAGTGCAAACAGCGATTACACACCTTGATTTTGAAGGTTTTTTTAAGTTAAATAGAAACAGTTTCAAATTTATTTTTAGTTAAACTACACAAAGAAGAAAATCTGAGTTACTTACCAAATGGCTACAGCAGATGCCCAATTTGCTAGAGAGATCAAGTGGACTTTGGCACTGAGGTAAAACATTCGAAAATGCCAATTGCGTGAGAAAATTGAGTAATTGGCCAAAATGTTGGGGACCAGCTTAAAAGCAAATTTTTAAACGTTTAATGGCGTTTTTGAATTTCCAAATCGTTTAATTATTTCCTTGTTTTTAGAAGAGCCTTTCAACTTACCAACGACAAGAAGAAAATGTCAGCAAATGCCAACATTGCCAAAAACGTGTTTGCTCTTGATTGCATCTTCTTGTCAAGCAACACGCTGAGATTGAGTGCATTGCCAAGTATTCCGAAGATGACTAGAGATGGAAACAGGTATCTTTGTAAATACCATTCAAATTCTGAGCCTGTAGGGAATTAAGAAAAGTATTTTTTGGGGGTAAGGGTAGTGTTTTAGGCCTTGGAGCGGGAATTTAGACCGCGGTTGTATTTTTATACTTTTGGTCTAGTGGTTAGTGTTATGGATTTGGGCAGTGAAGGAGTGGGGGTTTGAATCCGTTTGCGTGCAATTATTTTAAAAATTTAATTTTCGTATTTTGAATATCTTTTTTTATTTTTTAAAATATTTTCTTACTTCTTAAATTATTTTTTCACTTCTATCAAATTTTTTCTTTATTTTTCCTACCGTGCATTTGCATTTGTTCCTCAGTTAGACAGCGATTTTGATGCGCGATGGGTGTTGTTGGGAGGGGCTGTATTGTTTCCATTTGAATGCGGGAAAGTATTGTTGTCATTGTTGTTGTAGTTAATTTTTCTTGTATCATTTTTTAAAGTTTGTTTTTGATTTTTCTAAATTTTTTAAATGAATTTTTGGGGGAATATTTTTTATTTTTAGTAAAGGGGAGTAATTTGGGAAGAAAGGTGGGGGGGGGGGGGGGGGGGTGGGGAAAGAAAAAGTGAGAAAATTGTTTTTACAATTTCGTGTCATATGTGTGTTTTTTGCGATTAGATCATATTGACCAACACCCCTTTTTTCTCCCAGTGGCTTTTTGGTGACTTAAAGGGATATAAGTTGATTGAAAAATTTGTGTGAACTATTGGGGTAATTTTCTTCACAGCTTTGTTAAATTGCGAAAGTTTAAAGTCCAATCAATCATGAAAAGATGTTTGTTTAGCTTTTAGTTAATGGTTTAAACGCTTTAATTTGTTAAAAGTTTAAAGGGGTTAAAAGGGTTTTTTGGGGTTTTTGGTTGGATTTAAAGGGGGCTTCTTGGATTTTTAATAGGTTTTTTGTGGGTTTTTTTTTTGTATCTTCTGGTATGCATTTTTTGTTTAGAGGGTTTGTTTGGATAGTATAAATTAATTGTAATTGTGATTTTTTGTTGTTTTTGTTGCGGGTCTTTATTTTTTAATTTGGAGGTGTTTGGTTAATAAAATAATTAAAAGTCTAGTAAAAAATAAGAGGAAGTAGCAAGCCAAAAACATTTTTTAATGAATAATACTTTTATCCATGAAGGTATATTTATTTTGAATGACACTTGTTGTTTATTAAATTATAGGGGATTAAAAGTCTTTTTCTAATTGAAAAACATAAATATATATAAAGTTAATTTTGAAGGGTATTTTTCATTAAAAGTACTTAAAGGTGTGTGACGTTTTTTAATTTTCTTGTCCATAAAGCCATTGTTTACTTGAAATTTCCCCTAAAAATTGTTGTTTGGTGCACAGCTTCTAAAAACCCCCTTTTGATTATTTATAAAAAAGCGGCTGTTTAATATACTTTTTTAAATATAAAAAATGGGGTAAACATTGGACAGACTTTTTAAGCCTTTATGGGAAACATAGAAGCTTTATGTGAAACATCCCATCCCCATTGATTGTTATGCTAATGTATTAATAAAAAATTGAAAAAAAAGTTGGAAGAATTGTAGATTAAGTTTGGGGAATTTTATGTCAAGAAATTGTATTTTTATTGAAGAATTGAATTTAAATGAGTCGAGAGAAAATTCAAAATAACATGTTAATTTCTGAAATGTTTTTTTGAAAATAATGTTGGAAAAATTTTTTTGAGGAGTCGAGAAAATGCAAAATTAGGTAGTTTAATTTTTTTTGAAAAATTGAGGAAAGAAATTTCGTTGAAAAGGAGCTTTTTTTGTAAATATTTATTAAAGTGTACTTAAACAATTTTTGGATATAAAGAAAGCTTTAAGCTTTTCCTTAGGGAATAATTTATTTTCATCTTCTTTGTAGGTCAATTTGTACTATTTTTTGTTAAAAAACATTTTATGATTAAAAATTAGCTTTATTTTGGGGGGAAATTTTTTTCTATTTTTAGAAATGTAGGACAATTTTTAAATAATTTAGAAATTTTTTAGAAGAAAGGGATAAACTTTTTTTGGTCAAAAAAATTTTTTTTAATTATTTTTTAAAA